TTGCTTGCAAGCTCATTTTATTTTGACAGTTACAAGAATCATAATTGCACACTTTCAGTTACTCCACCGGCCAAATTTGCAGCTTATAGTTTTTGATTCACTGCATTTTTCTCACTATATGGTCATCCTTGAAGTGTAAATACATATTTGCATTTTTGTCATTTTAATATATTTTATAATATATATTCCAGCTGATATTACAGTTTTTTTCTCCTCATTTTCAACCACCCAGTAGTCAGTCTTCTGTTGTATTTTCTTGTCCGCTGATCTGGTGAAATCAGTAATTTTTAAGTATGTTGTTCAACGTGATCACATGATATGTTACTGCTGTTTTGATTAGCTGTTTCGTGAAACTTCTTTCATAAAGTTGAGATGCTTGCAACTCTTCCAGCTGAGTTTCAAATGAGTTGCAGCACACTTTACATCATGCAAATCGAGTGCAATTTAGTTTCATGTAGGTTTCAAGCAACTAAAGTTGCATGAAAATGTCACTGTGTAAAGCCAGCATTAGATTAAAATTGAAATTATCATCTGCGTCATTTGTTCAAAATGATAAATAGCTTCTTTCACATAGTGGCAGTGTTAGGGGCAAAGTTGCATTTCTTGGTGGTCCACACAGTTATGTATGTGTGCATGTCTGTGTGTTCACTCTCTGATATGTATGTTTCACATTAAGTTTTGGCTGCGTCTTCAACAAACATCAAATAGTAAAATATGGAATTCCATGACCTGCTGCTTTTATGAAAATGCAGAGTTATGTGTTTTTCTTTTTTTTTCTTTCACATCTATATTTTTCAGCCCATAAAACTCTTGTTGCTCTGGCAAGCTGCAAGTGTCTGAGCGCCTGCTTTTCTTGCAGATTCCACCGTAGCATAAAAGCTTGCAATAAAGGTCATAATAAAGGATCTAGCCAAAGAAAAACCTAAATGTATCCCCTTCTAATTTCTGAAATTTCCCCCTTTTCAGTCACTCTTTGTTATGGGGGAATTAAATGGCAGTTTTACGAGTGTTTAGCCCAGCCAGTTAAGTTAAGTTGCATGTATTGGCCAATTGATTTTTAAAGATAAATAAAACTCATTTTATGGTTTTGGATTGCTTCAAGCTTTCATATGTGAAGAACATCCATGTCCATTTGTGCTTGCTGAACATCTCATTTCAAAACCTAGGCTTTAATAGGTCGCAGACTGTCTCTTCCCTGGAACTAAGGAACCCACTATGCACTATGCATTCAGGCTGGTGGCATTCTTCTGGCAAATCCTGGCAAGCCCAGATTCGTCCGTCAGACTGCCCGATAGTTAAGTGTGATTTATCACACAAGAGAACCCGTTTCCACAGCTTCAGTGTCTTTGTCCTGTGACTCATTTGAAGCTCCACCATAACCACTGTATGCATCTTAACCTGATGGGGCAAGTTTTGTGGACCAGACATTCAGAATCATTTCAAACAACATTCTTTCGAACTATTTCACCAAAACAAATCGACTAGAAAATAAACCAGGTTTTTGATTGGTGACTGAAAAGGCTTATGACACACACAACAGATAAAAAAATAAATATAGAAAAAAAAGAATGGCGATGACAGCTGAAAAAATATATGTTGATGATAATATGTAAATTACGTAATATGTAAATTACACCATGCAGACTTTATATCAAGAACGACAGTGTATCAAAAATACAAGCTGCTAATTTGGCCAGTGGAGTAATTGAACGTGTTGCGTCTAACATTGTGTTTGAATTGCTTGGTGTTACTGTCAAGTTGCATGGAATTACGCTGCAGGCAACTCACAACATGCAACTAGTTGCGTTGTGTTTCACTGTGTAAAGCCAGCCTTAGGCTTGTGTGCAGTTGCTTGGCTGCCGTGTCACCATGGAAACCCAATCCACGAAGCTCTCAACGAACAATCCTGATGTTGCTACAAGAGGTAGTCTAGAGGTCTATTGCACCTTCCAATATACAATTTAAAAACATTTATCTTCTAGGATGATAAACCTGCCTATTGATTGGAAATAAAATTTAATGATAGCATTGGTTGAGCCAATGTTTTTTTGTTGGCTTACAGTTAATTAGGTTAATCATTCACATCCCTAATGGAGTTCCATGACAGTGGCACGCTGATTGAATTAGAAGGTCCACATACTCTTGTCCATGTATTGTACCTCCATTATGAAGCATGTCATGGTGTATACTGTTATTGGAAGTGTATTCGGAGGTACGATAACTTTATTTGTCCATTTACTTTCGTAATTGTTTCCTGTTTGAATATTAGACAACTATTTTGTTTGATATTTGATTTTTAGTTTTCTATTGCTTTTCCATTTCCAACTACACATTGAATACAGCTGTGTATTCACTGTGTAACATTGTGCCCTCAAGTGCTACTGTAATTATAATTAATTACATCAGATATGGTGTGGAATTGTTTCACATTACTATGATGTATAAGCATATCGCTGCTGTCGGAAGAAAACCTCGTATCTCCATTTTTGTCGTTTTCCAGTTTTTGACATAATTTGTCAAATGTGCCTGTTGTCCTTTACATTGTGTGTAAATTTCATGAAGAATGGACCAAAAGAAACGGCCCAAAACAACTTGGAAAAAAGTCTGGTTCCATTGACTTACATTGAAAGTAAAGTATGTTTTTTCCTGCTCATGTAAAGTTACCATTTTGCAGTTACAAGGTTTTCTTCGACAACAGCGATATGAAGCAATAAGTATGGCACTGTGGACCCACAAGGTAACTGAAAGCATCTGTGTACTGTGCTGTGTGAGTTTAAATAGCGATGAGAATTGAAGAGGAAGAGTAAAAGGTTGATGATGAGTATCTTTGGAGCAGGTACAAACACTTGCTTGTCTTTGCCTCCCTCTCATTACATGCCCTTATTTGTCATGGAATGCTCTCCTTATCTGACAAGACTGGCAGCTTCACTCACATTCCATGGATTGACCACTTTTGGGGTTGAGTGTGTGTATGTGTGGGTGGGTATATATGTATGTGGGTGTGAGCAGGCAAACCACTAACATAAAGAATGAGTCTAAACCAGTCAGTCAATCACCTTGCAGCATTTTTGTTTGTCTTAGGAATGCGTGTTATATTGTGTTATGTATCTTTGCCAAAATTGAATTAGTCTCATGGATTTTTCATTGTCTCCATCGTATCCCGAGAGCAGTAGAGACTACAGCCTCCAGACTCTTGTATCTTGTTACTATGGGCATTTCTCTGGCTTTGCAGTTTCTCTTAAATGCATTTGAAATTAATACATTTGGATGTTACACAATATATGTCCAATATTATGTAGATACAAGCTTTTCTGGAATCAAAGGTGTTAATAGTCAGTTGGTCTTCCTTTGCTGCAACAACTCTCTCTGCTCTTCTGAGCAGGCTTTAGGCTGGCTTTACACAGTGAAATGTTCATGCGGCTTGTTGCATTTTGTCGCATGCAACTCCTTCAATTACTATTTAGACAAATTAGCAGCTCATACCTTTGATATTGCATCATGGGTTATTTGCAGACTTTATAAATGTATTATATATGTATTTGCGTACTTTTTATATGTAGTACAGAGTGATTCAAAAAGATTAATCCGATTTCAAAATGATTGATTTCACTTGTAAATCATTACAGAACAATACAGTAAACTGTAAATGGTTTAAATGAGCATAAAGTTGATTATGTAATTTTACAAGTGCTCAATATGAACCTCCTTCAACTGTACGGACAACATCACCGCCATAGTCAGATTCATCCTATACTCCATTGAGCTTGTCGGGTGTTGCTGCACTCACGGCTCTTTCAATGTGATTTCGGAGATCATCCAGTGTTGTGGAACCAACGATGAACGCTCTGAGCTGTTTGGAGGTTCACTGCCGAAAATCACGTTGCACAGTTATGACAGATTCACTCTTACTGAAGTGGAGAACGCAAAATGCCTTCTGCTCAAGGGTCTCATCTCCTCACAGACTGAAGGGAGCCATGTTCCGGTGACAGTCAAAAACTCTATCACCCCCTCTTTTAATTGGTATGTGATTGGTTCCTAGACGCCTCACGGTTGTAAAAATATGGCGCTTTGAAATCGGATGATTCTTTGGAATCGCCCTGTATTTTTGGCATCCAATTATATACACAACAAAAAATAAACTGTGGCACAAGCAACCCTTTAAACAACTGTTAGCAATACTTAAACCAGCTGGTTGTTGTCGTGGCTCAGGTAAATGAGAAAAATGAAATACTACCGATCTTACATAACCTCGATCAGGAGGATCTCCTTTTCAGCTACCTTCTGTTTTATTTTCTTGTCCATGAATTTAGTGAAATCAATGTGATCATGTGATGCTTAATCAGTGTTTTGATTGGCTTGTAGCAGCTTAGTTAAACAGGTTGTAGGATGCTTTTACTTTTGTGACATTTGGTTTCATACATGTTTCAAACAAAAAAAGTTTTACTGTACAAAAGCCAGCCTTGCTCTTGATCAGTGGTTCCCGATCCTGGTCCAAGTAATCAGTTAATTACGAAGCCCTTACTGAGATGAATTGAGTGTTCTAGAACAAGAAAACACAAGAATGTGCAGGGCAAGGGATACTTCAGGTACCAGGATTGGAAAGCTGTGCGCTAGATGATGGAATAGTGCTGCCATAAGAACATTAGTGAGGTCAGGTACTGATGTTTGCTGAATAGGTGTGGATCACAAATAGATTTAGGCAAACTCATGAAAAAAGAATTCAGTGGCACTTCATCAATCCAGTGAATGTGATTCCACTGCTCCACAGCCCAAAACTGACCGTTTTTCTTTGGAAATAACACAACTGTGTGCATGCAATTGGTGTGCCATAAATAACCCAAAAAAAAGAGTACAGATCCAAGTCTAGCATTGGGGAAAATCCGCTCTCCTCATCAAAAGTGCCTAGATTTTTAGACATATCGTAAAGGCGTAATTATTATTTTGATAATAGTGTGATTGTGTTTACTTACTGGCCTCCTGCTGTCTTGTTTGTTTTCTAGAGATCAGAGTGAGACTGGCAGAGACGGTGGGCTGGGGACACCATGAGCTGGAGCTTCTTAACACGACTGCTGGAGGAGATCCACAACCATTCCACCTTTGTTGGGCAAGATCTGGCTAACTGTGCTCATCGTCTTCCGCATCGTTCTGACGGCCGTGGGTGGAGAGTCCATCTATTATGACGAACAGAGTAAATTTGTGTGTAACACGGCCCAGCCGGGCTGTGAGAAACGTCTGCTACGACACGTTTGCGCCACTATCGCATGTCCGCTTCTGGGTCTTCCAGATCATACTGGTGGCGACCCCTTCATTGATGTACCTCGGCTACGCTGTCAACAAGATTGCACGGCTAGAGGAGGGTAAGGAGAGTGGGATTGCGTCTCAGTGCAAGAATCGCAAGCTGTACCCCAGGCGACAGCAACACCGCGGCTTAGAGGAGGTGGAAGAGGACCAGCAAGAAGATCCCATGATATACGAAGCTGCTGAGGTTGAAAGCCGGAGTGACGGCGCCCCCCAGGGGCGTGGAGGACCAAATGCTGGAGGAACCATCGGTAAGACACGGCATGATGGGCGGCAGCGGATTCAAAGAGATGGCTTGATGAGGGTGTACGTGCTTCAGCTTTTTGCCCGTTCTGCCTTGGAAGTGGGCTTCCTTGTTGGCCAGTATGCACTCTACGGCTTTGCAATGCCAGCACGCTATGTGTGTTCGGTCAAGCCTTGTCCACAAAAGGTAGACTGCTTTGTTTCCCGGCCAACTGAGAAGACCATCTTCTTGCTCATCATGTATGGAGTCACGGTGTTGTGCCTGTTGCTCAACATTTGGGAGATGCTCCACCTGGGAGTGGGAACCATGCTTGACCTTGTTTTCTCTCGAAGGGTCTCAGGCCAGGATGAGGACGAGAGCCAGCTAACGCCGCTTACCGGTCCACCTGGAATGCCTGTCAGTGAGGCTGGAGGAGGCAGCGCAGGATACGGGAGCTACCCTTTTTCCTGGAATTCAGTGCCCCCTTCAGCACCACCAGGGTACAACATCTTAATGAAGCCTGAATCCATACCTTTCACTGAGCTAAGCAGCAACGCTAAGACGGCCTGCAAGCAGAACCGCGCCAATATCGCCCAAGAAGAGGAGCTGCGGGGCCAGTACGGCAGCACCGAGAAGAATTTCCTCCAGAGCAGCACCAGCAGCGCGCTCCACAGGGAAATCCAGCATGCACAGGAGAGGCTAGAGGCGGCCATATTGGCCTACGGTCAGCAGCAGCAGAGCCAGTGCAGACATGCTAGCAAGCTGCAAGGCAATCGCAAACAGCAGGACCGCTCAAGAAGCAAGCGAGGAGGAAGCCGAGGGGACTTAAGGAGCAGCAGTAGTGGCAAGTCGGATGAGGGGAAACCGTCAGTGTGGATTTGATGCACGTCTTCCAGTATCTACTACAACATTCAAATGTGTAGTTCAGCCAGAAATCAAACACAGTTTTACCCCTTGTCCCACATGTAGTCAGTCAGCCAAGGCATCTGCTGTCTGAAGTTTGTTCCTTCACTTGCACTGGAGCTACAAGGCTAACAAGTAGGTCAGCGCTACATGCCTAAATCGCTACATGCCTAAACAATTTTTGTAGGTAACATTAGTAACACAAACCAGATAAGCTATAGGTCACTTTGAGATTTGAGACCATGGCCTGGCTGATCGACTACATTGAGGGTAAGACAGATTGCGTATATATGACTTCTGTGCTGAACAGAACTTCAAGCCAGTTTTGATAAACAAGCAAAGAGCCTGTTGGATGACTTTGACCTCTTTGGAAAATACAGGTTGTGTCACTGAAGAGGGCAAGAAGGACGTTCAGTCACAGTGGGATCAGAACCTCTCATTGTTGAGGAACTAAACTAAGCAAGACAAACCAGCCTTACTGCGAGGACGTGATAGTTACCTTCAAAGATACTTGCCTAATCACACATGATGCTTTCCATGCACAATCAATAAGCTGTATTTTCCACACTATTTGTGGGTACTGCTGGCGTCAGTGGCAATAAATCTGTATCCACAGGGTCTCAGACAAAGCAGCCATTGGCCTTTTTTAGGTTGTTTTGCCATTTTGAGCTAAGGTTGTTATTATTCCTGTGGAACCCACCAACTACCAAAGGGAAACGAAAGAACAAAGTGGACATACATGTTTTGTTTTTACTTTTGGACATGGGTTATCACTCTTTGGCTGTGTTTCCTAGAGAACAGCTGTGTCTCCTCAGGCTGTATTGGAAGATTGTTTTTCTTTAATTTTGAGCCCAATCACGAAAAAGAAAAAAAAAGGACAGCTTTGAGGAAAATCTGCTCTCCTCACCAAACATTTTGGTGCTACTATTACGAGAAGTGCCTTTAACCCCTACGTTTGGACAGGACAGCCATTCTAGCTACGACCTTAACTGTGATTTTTTTGTTTTTACCACTGTGTCCACAAGCAATCCTCAGCATGTCCTCATTACTCCTTTCACTGTGAAACAGGGACAGTGAAAGCTGGGAAAATGCATATCTTGATTTCGAAAAAGAACATTTTTCTGTTCTACATTTTAGAGTCTGATTTAAGGCATTTGTTAAGCAGTTGTTTGTGGTTCCAGTTTCTTGTTTTCTTCCTCTGTGCTGTTGTTGCCCTCTAGTGGTCAACACCACAAGCACCACTGGGCATTTAAAACATTGTACTGTATAGCTTTTCTTGTGCATCACTGGATGCATTTCTACCTGGCAAATATAGCGAATTATACATGACCTACAGTAAGCTAAATCGTTGTGTTATCATAAGCTATGTAAGTTTATACATGTGGTTCATACATAAGCTATCTGTTGTCTACTGAGTGTTTCAAAGTCTGTTCACCAGCAGTTACAGGTGTTCCAGTATGTTTGCGAAGGTTTTACATTCAGATTCTTTATAAATGTATTTGGAAAAGTTCTGTCATTTTTTCACCATTATTAAGTTAAATCCACAGTCAGGGATTTCAGAGCAGTGTTTAAGCCCCATCACTGAGTTTTGCCAAATAAAAACTGAGTTCTGAACTAAGCAGTAGCCAGTAGTAAAAAGAACTGTTTGGTTTTTTTTTGTTGCTGTCTCGTAAAAACCTCCATTCTTTTTTCTTTTTGGCATAATTTTAAAATCTACAGTTACCCTTTGCATAGTGTTAACATTTGATGATGAACAGACCAATAGAAATGGTCCAAAATGACTTTGAAAAAAATTTTATTTTAAGTTTTTCCATCTCTTGTAAAATTATCATTTCATAGATACAAGATTTTGTCTCTGACAGCAACGATACTGTATAGAGTGCAGTCAGAGCCCATCATAATTCATCTCACAACTCAAACTTAAGATTTAGATATCTAAAAATTAAGGATGCACAACGATATCAGAATCGGACATATTCGATTTGATATTTTATATTTGATGACTTAAAGGTGGGCAATATAAGGATATTCTATCATTATTATGATCACAGTATGCTTATCTGTGCGTATCCTGGATATCTTCAATACATCAGAAACACTGAACAGCTGCACAAAGAGGGCAAAATTTAAGACCTGTTTAATTGAATCTAGTGCAACACAGTAAATTTATTCTTTAATTTTTGATAGTGTTTATTTATTATAAATGTGAGACTAATTTTTTTTCGTTTGTTTGTTCCATTTTATCAAACTAAATGTCGTGATACTCGTCACGTATCATGAAAATGTCTTTTAGTATCAGTATCGTGATATTTTCACTACATTGCCCACCCCTGATGACACACCTATAAGTAACCCTTTGCAAAAAAACACCATATTTATCTGTATTGCGACTCCAGGTGGATGCAGTTTCACTTTCCATATATACCAACAACGGTATCAGCTGATGTGCAAACGTCTTAGGCGTTTATCTGGACAATAACTGTCTTTAACTTTGTTTATTAAAGACACCATATAATACTAGAATGCAAACAAACTAACTTAGTAAAAGTAACACAATTTTCTTGTTTTTTAAAAAGTTGTATGACGTTATAGTCGATATGCTTTGAGCTGCTGTAGTCGATGCCCCCAGCCATCATGTGGAATTAATTTAGCATTGATTCACCAAACCAGGGAATGAATAATAACTACAGATGTCACTGAGCTTCTCTGAGGAGAAGTTTGGAAACCGTTAAACCAATACATTGACACAAGATACATAAAATCAATACTTACTGTATTAATGTTATTCTTATTTATTCTAATATAAGTGTTTCCTGAGCAAATAAAGGAAGATAACTTTTTAAACAGCTTTCTCAGGTGCCTAAATCTTTTACACTGTGCTGTCTGCAGTTGTGTGCAAAAGTTTGGGCACCTTTGGTCAAATGACACGTTTGGTTGATTTTCACACGTCCTCTACAGAGAACACACCTCATTTTAATGCACAGTTAGTGTTAATTTGCTGAAGGTAACAAAAAAAAACATAACTTAAAATGTATATGTAAACAGAATTTAGCAAAAAATAGAAATTGTGCACCAAAATTTGCAGGGTAACACCCTGCGAACATTAGGCTACATGACACCTACATAAGGTTGTCATGACAACTGAGATAACCCTATATAACTGTTCATAAAGGCTTATTACAACAGGTATCAAAGTCCATTTTACCTGACTTTGATCAAAATTGGCCAGTTTAACCTTTATAGCAAATGATGCGTATTGGAGAAAGCATTTATAAACAGTTATGTAGGGTTATGTCAGTTATCATGACAAGCTTATACAGGTGTCGTGTAGCCTTATGAACAGCACCCTACAGTAAAGTGTTACCATTTGCAGAAAAGTGACGTATTCAAGTGTGTTCTTTGTAGAGGATGTGTTAACATATTTTCACTTAGAAAATCAATAAAAATGTATTTTGCCAAACAACTGTATGTGAAAAATACTGGATAACGACCCAGAATTCCTATATTGGTGCATCCTTTCTAAAAAGTGTGATAAGCCCTGAATTTGACATAAACAAATGCATCTTTACGAATCCCTGACTGTGGCTCCAAAAGGTGCTCGGTTCCATACAGTTTGCTGCTCATTGTAATCCTTAAATATTTGGCAGTATGGCTGTTGCGTGTTCAAGCCTTGCACTTGTTCAAGGCTCATATTCCAGGCCCCAGTTGTGTACAGATGTTTTTTTGGTTTGTTACTCTGTCAGATTCGCTCAGATTCAGTCCTTTGTGTTTGCCAGTCTGACAGTATGAAACTGGATTTGGCGTCGGCTTGAATTTTTACTTTTTCGTTTTTTGGAGGGACGGGTGGGACGATTTTGTATTCTGGAGGTTTAAAATGCATGATGTGCATTGGTTTTGAGAGGAAAAGATAATAAATATGCAGTTTTGATTTACCCTTGAACATATTACGGTTTGTCCATGTGTCGTGATTGTGCATTGCCAGGTTCCCACAAAGCGCTTTTCCCTTAATCTCAGCTGTATCTGACTTTAAAAGCACACATTTCACCCAAAAACACTTTTTTTTTCTTAAACAACCTCAAAAGTGGGAAAAAACGTGTGCTGAGAAAGACGTGGAACTTTAAAGGGCCCATATATTGGAACATCTCATTTTCATTGCTTTGTCGGAGTTGAATGTCGTATGTCAACGTTGTTAAAGTTTCATAGTGTGCTGTTCGCTCTTCATACAGTCCCAACTGCAAAAACAGCCTGTTTTGAATTGTTTTTGTGATGTCACAAAAAGCAACACATTTACATATATCTGCTTGTTCAGCCTACAGCAGTTCAGCCCCACCCATAAAAATGCTGCTTCTGTCAGGCCTGCTTTCGAAGCAACCGCTAGAGGGCGCTCCCGTGCAAGTCCAAAATGCATGTGTTAAGATGAGGCATTTGAGCAAAATCAGTTTGTAAATGCTTAAACATTTTTAATGTAAAAAAATACATTCATTTCAATACAGAGCAGCATAAAACATTACACATACATACAACACCCCTGTTATATTTTTAAGAGCTTTTAAACTCGAGTTATAGGAGTTCAAAACAATGCCTCATGTACATCCATGACGTCTGTGAGCACAAACAGCCATTGAGCTGCTCCGCTTGCCAGCCAATCAGCGCTTAGTAGCAGTAATGCCGCGTCCTAGGAAATATATAGGTGAGTTTTCTTTGCTTTTTTAGTGAAATACATCCTTCTACTTTCTAAAATTAAAGAAACGTTCTGGGCGAAAGATTAGAAACTATTTTAACTTTTCGTTTTTATCCGTTGAGCTCCATTCACTCCCATTCATTGAGGACCTATTTCCCTCTGGCATTTTGCAGTCATGTTTTTGATATAAGGGGGGAAATAGGAAGTGGCTGGGCTCTGATAAGGCACAGTACAAGGCAGCCAGTCAGAATAGAGGTCATTTACATAGATCAGTCATAAAGGCATGATGCTTTTGATACGTAAAACCACACAAATGTTGCAAATGGACCCCAGGAGGACAACAATAAATTGTAAGAAAAACTGTAGTGTATGGGCCCTTTAATGGTTCGTGTCCTCCGGGCCGCTGGATGGCGCTGCAGGCTGCTCGTCGCTGACAATCTTTGGAGGGGTTTTTGAAAAGGCTAGTGCGAAGGGAGAGTTACAATCATGGATTAATGTTAAGTTTACGCGCTTTTAACCCCTTAAAACAGCGTTTTCCCTTTTCAGCTGGACCCCCGACCACCTTCTCCTGTGAGGACGGCGTTTCCTGAAGGTAATGAGGAGTCCGGAGATGTTTTGAAGTAGTTTTGGGTGCGAAAACAAAGCGGGGTACCCGAGACTGTGAGCAGCTCCGAGCTGTGGACGCTTTTATTCAAAATACCCCGTTTGGACGCTGAATTAAGAGAGATTTATCACCCGTTATCGTACATGTGAGGCGTCTATTGATGCTGTTAATACTGATAAGAAGCTTCTAGCTTTAAAATGTTGATAATTTTCTGTATAAATTGTGTTTTTATCTAAAATTGGTGCCTATTGTGGAGCTCCTGTCCTGTTAGCTTAGTTAGCATTAGCTGTGGTCCCTGTAGGGCTGAAGGATTAATCGTTTCTGTATCGAAATCGCGGTTTGAAAGTGCAGTTTATTCACAGAATACAATATCAACAATGTTATCTTTGGAGTTTCTCACATGATTTCTCTCTCTCTCTCTCTCTCTCTCTCTCTCTCTCTCTCTCTCTCTCTCTCTCTCTCTATCTATCTATCTTTATTTCTCTTTCAATTCAGTCAAATTCAGAACAGCGTTATTAGCTTAAGTGCAGTATTGCTAAAGCATTGTAACAGTAGTAATGAACAGTGAAGATAAAATAGCCACATTAGGTGTTAAAAATAATGATATAATAATAACAATAATAATAATAATAATAATAATAATATAACATAAATATATATTATTATTATTATGGTTTCGTTATGATTGTTCTGTTCATAGACTAATGATATTTGTATTTTTTAACATAAATATGTTTTGTACTGTTGGAGTCAGTAGAGTCTCTTTCTGTCTCCCTCTCTCCTCCCTTTTTCTCTGTCTTTCTGTCTGTCTCCCTCTCTCCTCTCCCTTTTTCTCTGTCTTTCTTTCTGTCTGTCTCTCTCTCTCTCTCTCTCTCTCTCTCTCTCTCTCTATCTTCTCTCTTTCTCTCTCTCTGTCTGAGAATTTAACACACTGGGGGGGGAAAATGAGACATAAAATATAAAATGTGCGGTGGCGTTTGCACAGGCCACATTTCAAAGTTCAGGAAATAGTAAGTGTGTGCAGACGTGGGTTCTCTGTAGAGGGTGTGTTCAGTTATGTTCGCATGTGAGATCACAACAACAACATGGAATTTGACCAGGGGTGCCAAAACTTTTTGCACACGACTGTATGTACACATACGCACTAGTTGAGTTTATTCATATGGCCATAATCATCTCCACTGTGAATGTCTTTATTGAGTAGAAACCATAAAGAAACACCTTTAAGCTTTAACTCAACACAGATGAGACCAATCAGAAGCAACAAAACACCCATGTTTCTGTACATTTGACATCACAACAACTGGTAGTCTGATGCAGTCTGTGTGCAAGCTTCATGACAGGAAAAAGTGGATATTCTGGTCTTGGCCAAAAACAGGCCTGGAAATTAATTTATAGAAAATAATTGCATTTAAAACCCAATCACAGTATTAGTCAGAGGTAAGAAAAATCCCAATTAGATATTTCCCCCAAATCGTTCAGCCCTAGTTCCCATCAGCGAGAGCTGAGAGGTTTCTTTTTACTGAAGAACATGGGTTTAGCTCCTGTGTTTGTGTAGGGAGGTGAAACACCCTGGACAGCTCGCCAGTCCATAACAGTGCAGACACACAGATGTACACATTTACACACACACCTAGGGGCAGTTTAGCGTCTCCAGTTGGCCTGGCTGCACATGTTTAGACTGTGGGAGGAAACCCATGCAGACGCAAGGAGAACATGCAAACTCCACACAGACTCTGGTTGGGGAATCAAACCGAGGCCCTTCTTGCTGTGAGGCGGCATCGCTACCCACTGTGCACCCCTCTGTTTACGGCTGTACTTGTTATATAGTTGGAAAATTTAGTGTTAGTGCTAATTCTCGAGTTATAAACTCGTTTATATCCTACATTTAGTATGTTAAGGAAGATTACCAACTAGGGTTGGGCGATATGGCAAAAATATCATATCACAGTATTTAAAGACGTGTTCGATACAAATACTTACCACTATATTTTGACACACCGACAGGATGCAGTAGTGGTGCCACATTTTAAAACAGTCATCACGAATTCTGGGTACAGTGACCTGTTTAGCGTTTTACATGCTGCACTGCATTAAATGTTATTATTTTTATTATTTTTTTACTAAAGTGTATTTCTCGTATGATCCTTGTTACTGGAGCATAGTGAAAAGCAAACATATTGTTCAGTAAATAAAACTGACAGTGTATGTTTTCATACAAACTACTGTTTGAAGCCGGTAGCTATTTTTATATTGACCACGAGAGTGGATGTTTTATTAGGGGTGGGCAATGTGATACTATATATTGTGATAAATTACACACGTCATAACAGTTTTCTGAGCATAACATGGATATCATCAGTACTTACACTAATCATATGTGTAATTATATAGAGCGTAGTTAGGCCTGTTTAAATTTAGTGCAGTGAAGAATTTAAAACATTGAATGAAAATCATCACACAGGGTGATTCAGAAAGATTCATCCGATTTCAAAATGATTTATTTCACTTGTAAATCATTACAGAACAATGCAGTAAATGGTTTAAGTGAGCATGAAGTTTATTACGTAATTGTACAAGTGCTCAGTATGAACCTCCTCCAGCTGTACAGACATCAACGCCATAGTCAAATTAATCCCAGACTCGATTGAGTATGCCAGGTGTCGCTGCACTCACGGCTCTTTCAATGCAGATTTCGGAGATCATCCAGTGTTGTGGAACCAACGACAAACGCTCTGAGCTGTTGGAGCTTCACTGCCCATGAAAATCACACTGCACAGTTATGACAGATTCACTCTTATTGAAGTGGAGAACGCAAAACGCTTTCTGCTCAGGGGTCTCATCTCCTTGCAGATTTAAGAGAGTCATCTTCCAGTGACAGTTAGAAACTCTATGGCCCCCTCTTTCAATTGGTATGTGATTGGTTCCTAGACGCCTCACGGTTGAGAAAATATGGCGCTTTGAAATCGGATTAATCTTCCTGAATCCCCCTGTATTTATGGTCATTGATAGTATGTTTACATATGTTACTACTTGTTCTTGTACTTTTATTGGGGGGTTATATCAAACCTAAACAACCCCCAAAACTAGGTATTGCGATGCATATTGTGTATCCAGAGAAATGTCTCATGATGTTTTTAACCATGTTGCCCAGCCCTACATTTTATAAAGTAATGACATTAAAATTGATGAGGTTATTTCCACAGATCTGTGGCTGCTTGAGCATTTCAACAAGCAGGTCTCTTCTTGGCTCAGTGTTTGAAAGAGCGATGCTCAGATCAGGCTAAGCCACATATCTGTCATTATAGACTGGTACTGCTGTGTCCATAATAAAGACTCTAGAGAGGCTGGTACTTGTTCTTTTAGAGTGTGAAATAATTTCTAGACCCTCCCTCCAGCATTGGTGATCGTCTATGTGCTCTAGGCTTATTTTGACCTGGATCAAACTGGCTGAATGGTGAGCATTATGACTTCTCCAGTGCTCTGTGTGATGGACTTCTACACCTGTTACATTGTGGACTTCTTTTACCAGGTGAGGTAATGAAGCGCGGTCTGCGGGTTGGTGACCTGGTTGGTTCTTTAACCCCGGGACTCCGTCCACTGGAGGGAAAGTCATTCTATCTGGACGAGGTGAAGAGCCGCCCATCAGGCGTCATCACTGAGATCATTGGTCGCCTCGGAGGGGTAAGCTAAGTGATTAAAAATAATAGAAATTAGCCCGAATGGCATTTTGCATCCTTCAAATACTTGTTGGTGCTTTCAAGTACTTGAATGTTCATTCTAAAAACAACCCTTAAAGCTATTAAATATGTAAAAGATTCATCATTAAACATACTTTTTAAGCTTGTTTGTTACTGCAGCTCAAAATATTGTAGACATCAGTAGCGTTTTAATAGTCAGGCTGAAACCCAGCTGTTTTTGTGTGCTGTGTTGCTATGATAGAATCTGTAATTGATGCCCTTTCGTTTGGATACAGCTTTTTAGGTCACTTGACTTGAGTTTCAGTAGTTATTTTTATTTATCCAGTTATTTTATTTGGCTTCTTTGCCAATTTTTATGATGGAAAGCGGCACTGAGGATGACACCCACAGGCCGGGGTGAGTCCTCTCATAGCTGGGTTACACTAAAGAGTGCTGGGTAGAGTGGCTAAAGTTAACTTCACCCCTCCTCTGCTTGAGAGTGACCGGTGCTCTCCTTCTTTAGCACTGCCAGACTAAATTAATTTGTAAAACATAGAATAATATGTTGATTTAATGCAGCAGTGTTGCCTGTTGGCTGTCAAATCCCAAGCTAATGACAGTGCTAATGACACATTGACCTAAGGCAGGTAGGTAGATGGAAGTGTCTACAAAATTACAAATAAATGAAATGTTTGGACATATTTTCTACATTGTGAATGGAACAGAGTGGCTGCTTCCATCTCTGCCATTTATGCTAAGATTTGTATCCCTTACAAATCAGTTTGTAAACATTACAGAAGTGGTCAAATATGATAGCCCCACTCATGTAAATCTAATCCCATCTGAATAGTACTGCAGTGTGGTAATGTTGCTTCTACTTTGTAATATATAGTGTCATTTAAAGCCTTTATATTTGTAAAAAAAAAATCATTTCTGTCTTTTTTTTTAATCCAGAAAGTGGAAAGTTTCCTCCACAAAGATGTGAATGTAGTCATCACTGGCAACAGAGAGGCCCTCACTGACGGGCCATTGGAGCGCTCTCCAGCTGCATTAGGAAAGGCCAAAGTCGAAGCTGTTTCTTCTCCTCACCTTCAGAGAGAGAGTGGGAAAAATGCCCAGCGCCCAGGGACCCCAAGACCACCAGTAAATCACTTCTTCTTTTTTATAGACTTTCCTGGTTTATAGACGAAGCCAAAGGGATTCTTTGGCTCAGCCTGGCTAACAGCAAATGAAAGTTAACAGGCAGACTTTCAATTATTATTAGCAGTGGTAACATTTGGTCAGACTATTCCTTTAACCTTTAATCTGTAAATTACTATGAATGTAATTGATCAGGAGCTGCATAGCTCTCAAAATATCAATAAATTTACACGACTGGATTTTGTGCTGATGTTCGCACCCAATAGAGCATGTTAAAGGAATAGCTGAGCCACAGATACTAATTATGCTAACAGTGAGTGATAGCCACCAGTTCGCCTTATATTATTTAAAATCAGATTTAGATTTTTTTTTTAAAATATACATTTAGTAGTCCCGTGTTACTAAAACAATATGATAAATCAGAAGTCACTAATAGGCGCACCGCGGTCCGAGTCCGGACCCAGACGCTGTCCTATGCGGACCTGGATCTGTAACTGATAAACTACGGAGAATTATTTAATTTCGACGGGGTGGTCCTATTTTAATTGGTGTATTATTTCTAGCATTTACGGTACCGGTATAGCGGCCTGGGAAACTCCCAGACCAATCGCAACTTTTGCTTGAGGAAACTTGACTGGACCTTATTGAATTTTAATTAAAGACCTCTGTGATAAATGATGAACTCACTTTTCAGCCATGTGGCCAGCAATTTACCAGTAACGCTGTGTTAAATGGTGGTGGCACAAGCTTTTGTTTGCTGTTGGCCACGTCAACATGCAATTCAGCAAATGAACCAAAGGTTTCAAAGATTCAGTTTTCTCTGCTGTCAAATCTAAATAAATGCTGTGTATGGCTGGTCTGGGTACAGATCCTGATGGATGTTTCATTTCCATAAGTCGTGTTGTCCGTCTTGATGGACTTCTTGTAAATTTCCTGTTGTTTGCTCAGGTGTGTGGTAGCCGTGGGAAGGCCTTGCTGGAGAAAGTCATCCGCAATAATGTGAGTATGCAAGCTTCTCATTCTAAGCAGTTCATAAACATTTTGTTGTTGTTGGTTGGCATAGACAGTCGCTCAGTGCATCCACAAAAGTTGGCATGGATCAAAAAATATCCCATGAAAATAAAGTGTATCCGAGTATCTGAAACTGATTACAGTTGTAAATGGACTCCCTGACTCCACTTAAGTTTGAATCAGTAGCAGCAGAGACGTTGATAAAGGAATACAATGGAGATCAAAGCAGGCATGTCAAACTGGGAACCTTCAGGGCCGAAGTGCTGCGGAGATTAGCGTCATCTAACGCTCTGAATTCAGTTCATGAAGGCCTTGCTGATTAGCTGATGAGCTGAATTAGGTGTGTTTAATGAGGCAGTGTGCTGAAGTCTGCAGTGTTTTCGGCCTGCAAGGACTGCAGCCTGACACATGTGGATTAATCTTAAATGTAGTTTACAGCACTATTGCAACTTGGATGTTTGGCCTCATGACAGTGGGCTAGTTTTGATTTTTTTACAAGTCATGTTGCCTCTGTTGAATGTGTGAAGCTATGGCCTCCAAAAGTGTTCCTTAGCTAACGGTTAGCCTGTGTAGTTGGTCACATGATTAAAAAAAAAAAGGAAGAAGCTTGAAAGCTGTGAGATACTGACTTTATGTTGATCATTTAAACTATGCATATAAACATCAAGCCAGCACTGTTAAGGCCATAAATGTTGGTTAACTTGGGCTAATAATATGTGGTAAATGTAAGTAAGTAGACTACATTATGTTACTTTTGTATCCGTTATGTGAGGCTGTTTTTTCCATTCAGTAAAGCCTAAAGCCTCCTTTATATAAACACAATGCTGTGTTTGTTTTTTTTGTGGGTTAATAACGGTTAACGTAATAACGGTCGGCTATCGCCCCAAAAGAATTTGCTAAAATTCGCATCCCTAGTTGGGGGCTATCGACTGTTTTTCATACCATCCACAAATATTATCCCCAGATATTAAGTTTACCCCAAATATTAAGTCTCATCATGAGAGGGTGACGGATTCCATATATCCACAGTTGTAAAATAGTAAATAAATTAGTCTACATCACAACCATGTCCAACTGTGCGGCGTGTCGTAGGATGGTGGGGTAAATTAGGACCCTGCTGTCTTTCTGTCTCGATCAGAACATAGCTAGTATCCTCCAGGACGCCCCAAAACACACACGCGGTACAGCTGAGCCCCCCAGCCTCAGGCCAAACCTCTGGAGTTCTGAACTGTGTTTGACTGTACCCTTGAAATAACTTTCACATTTGGCAACTTATAGTTTAGACCTAAACCTTTCAGTAAAGTGAAAGGGATAAAGCAAAAAAATATAAATGTACCCCAAATGAAGTCAGACAGGCATGTACAGACAAAATTCAGCCCTCAGGATTGTTGCTGCTACTGATTTTAAAACATACTTTCTGTCCATTTCTGTAGTTCTGTCTGACTACGTTAGCCTCGTAGCTCCAGTGCTGATCTAAAGAAACAAACTGTCACCAATTGTGTCTTGGCTGATAAATTTCATTTGTGTGTGTCGAATCAACTTTAGATTTTTGATGGAATCTTCTCTTTAAAGTACATTACCTTTTGTCTGACCATCTCTGAATGTTACAGGAGAAGACTCAGGGCAGTGTGCTGACCAGTGCTCGCTCCTGGGGAGTGAAGATAGTGGGTGTAGACCGTATCCTTCTATCTGTTGAATTTTTTTCAATTTGAGCAAATTAATTTTCTTTAATATCTAAATAATAAAAAAGAAACAAGTTTATTTTTATAAATTCATACATAAATATAAATTTATAAATCATCCATATTTATGTGGTATGTAAATACATAAACTATATAATCTATTTTTTAAAAATATAAATAAAAAATAAAATATTTTACCTATTTTTTTAGACATTTGTATCCATATTTTATTTTTTTTTAATATATAAAGTGAAATACATTAATAAATAGTTTTGTTCTGCTTATTTAGTTGCTTAAGTTAAATGACATAAAAGAAATCCTGTTTGTTTAAGGATTGGATGTAGATGTATCTACAAGGCTGTGTTTGTTTTGTAGTTGTTTGCTAGTCATGATGTTGCCAGTGATTCCTGTGTTTTGCAGTGCACTACTAGGGCCAGAGGAGGGCACCACCGCCTCTTTAACTGTGAACTGAACTAACATCTCTGGCCAGCTGAAGTGTTGCAACGCTGTTTGAAGTTTACAGCAGTTTTGTGTTTCTGCATTTGTCTGTTACGTCTTTAACTTAATGATCAGATTTCCTGAAGTTTGTAGATCAGCTGTCTGCTGAACTGTCTGCTCAGAAAAGCAAGAAAATTGAGGTAATTCACTGATTCATTTGCTCATATTTGAACGACCTTAGTGTATTTATACTACAATTAAAACATTTTTGCCATCTAATTTAATAAGTATGTACTGTAGAAAGTATCATTTAATAGTGATACATTGTCCCTAATAGTTTTTACTTTTTGACTAGACTTTCATGAGTTTTTCTTTAGATTTCAATAGATTTACATGAAACTGACTGATCATTTTGTCTAATTAAAAATTAGTGAACAATAAAAATAGAAAAAAAAGCAAGAAGGACTGATGCAGCACGTACTAAACATATCGATTAGATCAGATCAAAAGATCAATCTCCTAAATTTCCTGGGGAACACACACCAGGTAATCAGGCAAAAAAAAAACCCAAATCACAAAACAGGTAAAGATGCTGTCATTGTTCTGTGAGTAGTTTGAGTGTGAAATAAAAAATCATAGCATGTTTTTTCTTAGCATCCTGTGATGTCAGTGAGCGTCTCTGAGCTTTTATGAGAAAAGAATTGTTGTCTTTTAAACTATTTAAAATGAATCATGCTTAATATGAACAGAGGGAGAATTTAAACCAAGATGAGTCACAATCTGAGTATCTAAACCTGGATTAATCACAGCCTGACTATCTAAATCTGGATTAATCACAGCCTGACTATCTAAATCTGGATTAATCACAGCCTGACTATCTAAATCTGGATTAATCACTGCCAGACTATCTAAACCTGGATTAATCACAATCTGACTATCTAAACCTGGATTAATTACAGTCTGAGTATCTAAACGTGGAATTAATCACTGCCAGAGTATCTAAACCTGGATTAATCACAGCCTATCTAAATCTGGATTAATCACAGCCTGAGTATCTAAACATGGATTAATAGAGAGTCATACACGGCTGTTGTAAAATGATTTAAAAACGGTTCCATTTGTTAGGTTTTTTTTTAAGCTGAAATTTAGTCAGGAACCCTGTCTCTGTTGAACTTGCCTTGTGAGTCAGGCTCCTGATGTGCAGGTTCCTCTTCCTTTGCCTTTGGGGCATTAAAAGCAACGAGAACGGGTCACTTTCACTGCCTGTTTGCATTATCGGGTTATTCTAGGTCATCACTGATCCTTTGTATCTGATCATATTTTTCTAAAACAGAAGAAAGCAGGTGAATCTTCAGGGCCGCGTGTTGTCAAAGGTAACAAGAACAGCTCAATATACCTTTTTTGGATTATTTCTAATGTAAAGGATATAGTTAGTACAGTAGCTTGCACGTCTTGTTTATATTATATGGTTTTATACATGCTACAAAATGAATTATCCTTTGTGTTATTGTACAGTCTATGTAACTGTGCCTCCTTCTGCCCTGCAGCAGGTGTTCTTAAAGCTGACTTCCTGAAAGTAGAGGACTCCAGCAGGTCAGTGCTTTCTCAGCTTATATGTGTTGTATTTTTGTCGTTGTATTTGTTTTACCAAACGTTTATTAGTTTATAAACTTAAATGTGAACATAGGCCACTTTATACATAATCACAGATTAGTCTTCACTCTCAGTGCAATCCTAGTTTGTGTGTCATGAAAATATCTAGATGTACTGTGATACTCAGACCCTTAGGTAGAGAGTGACTGGGGCAGCCACACATCATCATAAAGACCAGTCTGCTCTGGACTGAAGAGCTTATAAATCACTTTCTGGAGAGGCTAGCTTGTATAAGAGACAAGTGTTATAAATGCTCTTTAACTCACACATGTGAGCACAGATGTGTTCAGTGCCTCAGTGTGCTCAGCATTTAATATTAAATGTTCTGGATTATCTGAGTTCTGTCCAAACATCTTCTATTCATTAACTACTGTGAAATTGTCAGACAGTACTGTAAATTCTTCATTAACTATTATAAATAATTCAATAACAACTAGGGCTGAATGATATAGATACCAAAAAATACAAATTGGAATTATATTTCTACATAATGTGATTAAAGGCGAGCGATATGGCAAAAGTAACATTATATGCATCATGATATTTAGTATTTCTGAGATTTATTAACTTGTAACAGACAAAATACAACTTGTAGTGCCACGTATAAAAATGCTATAATAATAAAAATAGAAGAAATAAACTTACAATTACACTGATGGTGGCATAATTTATTATAATTATGATGAAATATTGTCATATTGTCCACCCCTAGTTAACATTAACACACTAGGAAATCAATATGTGATGTGGTCAAAGATTTGTGTTATGTTTAGGGACCTATCCACCCCCCCCCAAATTCCTGTACATCTTTTAAATCATTTTATGGCCTGAAAAATTGGCAGTTGCAGTTTTTGTGTGCATGATTGAAGAGAAGAGAAAGACATAAACCCACACCAGCAGGATCTCACCAATGCATTTTGCACCCACAGTAACTGCTGAAAATGATTCAGTAACTACTAATAAACTAACATATCGCTGCTGTCAGAACAAAACCTTGTATCTTCATTTTTGTTTTTCAGTTTTTGCCTGTTGCTCTTGTGTGTAAACTTCATGATGAATGAACCAAAAGAAACAGCCCAAAAGTACTTAGAAAAAAGTCTGGTTACATTGACTTCCATTAAAAGTAAAGTATGGTTTTTGCTTCTCCTGTAAAGTTATCATTTTGGAGAAAGTGTGGACCCACATACAAGCCCTCCTTTTTGGACTGTATGTATTGATCTTCAGTAGGCTTTTCGGGCCATGTTGATGGTACAGGTGGCTTGTTTGAGTATCGAATGAGGCTCGACTGAGAGGAAAAGGCTACACCTGCTGCTCTTGCTATCTAGGGTTTAATCAAACAGTGAAAATGGCACCGGGAGGTCATCTTGATTGTCTTAAGTTCTGGGCAACTCTCTAACATGTTTCACGTTTAAATAAGTAATCAGCTTAGGAGGTATTAACACTAACCCTTCGACATGTAGTGTGATTACTGCATTTATACTGTACTATTTTAATACATACATACATACATCATCTAAACCGCTTATCCTTCTGGGTCGCGGTGGGGTGCTGGAGCCTATCCCAGCTGTCATTGGGCGGAAGGCAGGATACACCCTGGACAGGTCGCCAGTCCATCGCAGGGCAGACAGACAGACATACACAGTTACTATTTTAATGGGATTACTTAATTACATATTTGTGATGAATAACTTTTATATTTAGTTTTCATTCTATGTCAGCAGGTTCAAATCTAAACCTTAAAGGGACACAGTGGCATAAACAATGGCAAAAACACAAAGAATGTTTCCCACAAAGTCTGTACATAACAGTATTTTTCTACACTAATTTCAATTGGTTATGAGTGAGAAATAAGTACAAAGAAGCATACTGTTAATATCAGTGATCAAGATGAGAGCTTAACGAGTGGTTGTACCTGTTTCACGGGGATATCTGCAATGTCCAGAGTGTGCTCTTGGTTTCATAAGCCTCCAGGGCTAACGTTTCAGCCCCTGCGGCTATAGTTTGCTTCATTGAGTAGCTTTAGACCTCCATTAGCCAAATTGGATGAGGTCCAGTGGTGCAGGGGGACCCCTAAGGCCTTAGTCCTTTGGGGGGGATATCTATTGCACCCCCTGCTAAACCTCCAGGCTTGCCGGCACATGCAGGGGGCCTTTAACGTGAAAGGCCCTTTTCGACAGCTATTAGCTAATGAAGAGAATTGTTGTCTCATCAGAGGTGTTTAGTGTGGATTTCTGAAATGGATCCTGTAAGAGTGGTTAGGCTTGTGTTAGCGGCACCAGAGCTGTTATTGTTGATGGTTAACGGGGCCTGTTTCATGAAGCAGGATGTCTTGCAAAGGAGCTAACTTTAAACTTGGTCGGAGCTATCTCTGGATTTCCTGTCTGATGATCACTGGGTCACTTTTTAACCTGATTGTTAACGTCCAGAGGCTGTAGCCTATCCATGTTAAACCATTGTCCACTTCCTTGCATTCTTTTCAAACAGAAATTGCAGATGGATGAAAATAATATAAATCCAACAGAATGTTTAACAATTAATTATCTCTTGTTGATGGGTGACACTTGTTGTGTGGTGTTTGGGTACAGTGTAGAGCCAGCTGGTGTCTTTTGAAAACTGTTAACATTTACGCTTGCTGTTCCTGAAGAAAAGATTTGAATTGTTAATCACTGTGTTTCCCTAACAGAAAGTACAGGCCACTGCATGCCCAGTCTCTGAGTTTCCCCACCCTGAGATACATGGGCAGGTTTAGTCCTTTTGAGCCTCCCCCACCACCACGGCCTGAGAAAAGAAAGGAGGGCGAACTCAGCAAGGACAAGCTCAGGTACTTCCCTTCCATTCACAAAAACTGTGCACAAATCTTTCAGTTTTCAGCTTAAATTATATTCGCCTATTAAGGCTGCAGCAGTTTAGTGCCACCCATTCATGCTATGTTATGCCTTGGCCTGCTTTTTGAATGAGGCACAATACAGGGCAGAACATGTTTACAGATCAGTCTTAATGAAACATCAATGTCCAAAAAACACACAGATATATATAAGTGGACCTCAAGGAAAATAATAAATATGAGCCCATGAATGTTTTTTGTGTTCTCTTACAGGAAGAGCGAAGAACCCATCAGTAGCTATGATAAACCCTCAGCTCCACTTCCACAAACACCTTCTCCCAAACGCCCACGCAAAAAGAGCTTGGGCTACTGCGAGTGCTGCCAGATAAGCTACAAAGATCAGGATGAGGTAAAGTCATAGATGTAATTTTTATATAGCAGTAATTGTTACTTATTTGGAGTTTAGGTATATTTAAAGAATGTCTGTCTGTTGTCTGTAGCTAAATACTTAAATGGCTTTACCGTTAAAAATATAAATAACTTGCATGAAGCCATCTCTGTTTAAGTTTTCTTTTTCTTTTTTTTATTTTGTGAGCGAGTTCCATTTTAAATAATAATACCTGTCAAATAAGGTCAAGTGTCCTTGAAAAATATACTCATCATGCACTCACTCACCCACGCACACACATCACATCAGTTATTGTCACCTCTTCCTTTTGCCTTTTCATATGGACAAAAATATTGTGTAATCTCCAGGTGTATCAAATGACAGATATAAGCTAACAGTGACACCAAGGGTTGCATGTTGAAGCTACTGAAAAGCCATCAGAAGCATCAGGTGTTGACTAGGCCACTCTGGGACATTAACCTATTTGGTTTAAAGCCACACCAGTACACCTTTAGTAGGAATGTAACAGTACATTGTGACATTGTGGTATCACAATGCAAAACTGTGATGTGCATGGTGGAGAATGGACGTTCTATTAATTATGCCCTTCTAATGTAATTACGTTATTTGCCAGCAATCAGCTCTAGTCCTCTAGTGACATTAGTAAGCTGTGCAACAACATGATTATAGTCATATTTTTTTCTGAAATTTTGTTTGTTCAAAATATAGTCAACATCCTGAATTGTGAACCCAGTATTGTGATTCAAATTGTGGATTGAGTACATTGTTACTTGCCACTTTTTAGTTTATGCTTGGTGTTGGAAGTTGAATCGTCTTCAGCGACCATGATCTTGCGATTTTTTGCACATTTTTCTTCAGGATTTTTTGTCTGTACTTAGCTCTAACTACAAAAAGACTGTGTGCCAGGTTTCTCCTTGAAGAGTTGCTAACGCAAGTCTACACACTTTCTGCTAATTCAAGAGAAGAATTCAAAAAGAAACGTGGGAATGAATAAACTGTTTTAGCAGTTTTATAGGTTGTTACTGTTTTCTGCCTCTGTTATCTCCCAAATGATTTCAGCAGCACCAATGCATCTGAACGTGTAGTTGTTACAATAGTAAATTAGACAAGGCAAGTTTATTTACGTCGATCAGGCATAACATTATGACTCCAGCAGCACTGTTGTGTCTGATCCACTCAGACCAGCACAACACACGCTAACACACCACCACCACGTCAGTGTTATTGCAGTGCTGAGAATGATCCACCACCCAAACAGTACCTGCTCTGTGGGGGTCCATGAGGGTCCTGACCACTGAAGAACAGGGTAAAAGGGGGCTAACAAAGTATGCAGAGAAACAGATGGACTACAGTCTGTAATTGTAGAACTACAAAGTGCACCTATATAGTAAGTGGAGCTGATAAAATGGACAGTGAGCATAGATACAAGGAGGTGGTCATAATGTTATGCCTGATCAGTGTATATAGCACCTTTCAAACACTGCTGTCATTCAAAGTGCTTTACAAATCTACAAAACTAATGCATTCCCATCTCCAACAACACTGTTGAAGAAGGAAAAGATGGTCCAGTCAGACTCTGTAGACCAAAGCTAATTAATGTGATCTTTTTGAGAAGTAATTTTCTTATACCGAGTTTTACTTACCTGCCATCCCTGTTTGTGTGTTGTATTGTTTAATAGCACTTGCACTCGGATCTCCATCGTCGCTTTGTGGAGGACATTACCAACTATGCTGTTGTAGACCAGTTGGTGGCTGGCTTGGTTGCTGATTTTTTGTGTCGTCAGGATCAGCAGGATAACAAACATCTAATGAGGTGGGAATTGGGTCCAGCTTTTGTCGTAATTATGATCAGTTTTGATATGTCATATGCAGTTATCACAGTTACTGTTTCACATTGTGGATTTTTGTCGTTTGCTCAGGTTGTCAAGCTGCTCTCCAGCACCTTTAACATATTCTGCAGAGATGGAGCTACAGACCAAAAGTGAAACAGAAGGAGTCCCCCAGACTACTTTGAACCACAGTTCTGATCAGCTTTCAGCAAACATAAGTGTGGGCACTGTGAATGTCAGACAAAGCTTTGGGCCTGTTTATGATGTGCCACTTCAGCTGCAGGAACCTGGCTTAGATGCATCACTTCAACCTTCCATTGAAGCCAAGTCTGTGGATGATAAAGTAAATGGCCATCTAGTCTTAGAACCTAAACCTGAAACTCCTATTCCCGATCCCTGCCCAAAGGACATTTCTTGTGCAATTCCGGACAATGAACCTCTGCCACAAATTCCAAGCTATGTTTTGTATACTCCAGAGAGGGTTGGGTTGGATGATCTCGAAGCCAATACTGCAAAGGATCCGGCACAGATTGACCGTGCCTGTCCAGGACTTTTACCTAGCCCAGGTCTTTCACTGCTGCCAAATCATGATGAGGATAAGTGTTCGTCAGCTTCCTCAAACAGTCCCAAACGGCAGCATAGTGATTGCCATGATGGAGAAGCTGCTGTTGATGAGCAAGGAGACATCCTGATGGTGGGGGAACACACAGATTTACCTTCAAATATAAATTTGACAGAAAGCACTGAGAGAAAGCCCTTGGTAGATGTCTCCTCTTGCTCTGCATCATCTTGTTATTCCATGAACCTGTCAGCCAAAGTGAACCCTAGAAAACGTAGCAGGTCCTTCACCCTCAGCCCCAAGGTTTCCAAGAAGATGAGGACTAACCAATGGTCAGATCCCACCCATGAGAACAGTGCTGTCAGTCTAACATATGATTATGCACCATTTGTTTGTTCTGGACTGCTGTCCATGGCAGAGAAATGTGATAATGGCAAGGAGGCAAATGACTCTGTTAAATGTAAACTTGTAACTTGCAAGCAAGATTTGCTGCCTGATCCTCTTTCGGTAGGACAGGTTTATTCCCTCACAAACGTAGCTATTCCAGAGGATCATCCATCTTTCCAGCAGGATCAACACAAGAACTGTGGGATTCCTGATGACCGGGTAACAGAACACTACCCAAATGGGGCACCCCAGTCGGAATCCTGTGTTGCTGGTGATGATAATGGTGATCGATCATCAGAATTGGGTCCCCCTCAACTGTACCCATTTTACCATGACGATATCTACCAGCAGCAACTTTCTTTTCTTGACCCTCCAAATCTTGTCCCTGCCATACTGTTTCCTTCTCTTCCTGAAAAAGTTGCCCGACCTCTTGCAAGTCAGGCATCCAGCGCTTCCCTTCTTTCCCAGTCCTGTTCTTCTGTTTGCATCGAGTCTGCTCTCGTCCCAGACTTTACCTTTTCCCCCACCTCTTCCGAGTCAGACTGGGATTCCGGCCTACTGTCCCGCTTGGCACCTGCAGTCCACCTCCAGCCCCGAGAAGGGCGCTGTGAGCTCGACCTGGGACTGTTGCTGCAGAGGTCATGTGCCGGAGTGCAGGATGGAAGCTACGCATCGCAGTTGTGTTCTGTGCTGCAGCCCACCATCCCCTCTTCCACAGGTTTTGGAGACACAGTGAATCTAAATACTCTCTACAGACCTATCGAAACGACGGACAGACGGATAATTCAGAGTCTGGGAGTGTAGTTTGTGAAACTGAATCCATCATGACATACCTTCCCTAATGCTAAGGCACATGCCGGATAGACCTTCTTCTCTTGTATTATGGGTGCTCTCTCATCTCGCTGTTTCATGGGCTTGAGGAACCCTTGCAGAATAGGAAACAAGGAAACCAAGTTAAGCTAAGCATTTTTTTGCCAACATCAGATTTTGGAACCCTAGCAATTCCTTGAGTCTTTACAGAGCAAAGAGCACTTATGAGACATTACAGCATCTCGTTCATGTTCCACCAAAAACGTCCAGCAATTTCAGTCGCTAGTAGCTAAAAAGGGGGTCAGAAATAAACAGGTGCCTACACCATTGGGCAACTCTAGTGTCTCTACCTTGTCCTCCCTGATTATCAGAATGCTTAGAGTGTTCTTCTTTCCACACCTCCTCTAACGACCTTTTTGCTGGCCCGGGCAGTGAACGTCTCCACCCCTCAGTGTCCTGCAGGTTCACTCTAGTCTTTTCATCAGCAGTATCCGGGAACAGGCGCTGGTATTGAGAATTTAATGAGACTTCTCCGGAGGGGGCATTACTCAATTAGTTTAAGTGCTGTGTCTGGCCCAATTCCCATTTACAGCCAGTGGTGGTGGCGGAATGGAGGTACAGGATGTAGGGGATATACCGTCAAGTCAGCAGTGTCCCATTACTTTACCTGCAAGCGGGACAGCCAAACTTGGATAACGGAGGATGATTTGATGCGTCTGTCCTTTATTGAAAGTCTTTGTGGTTCTTGGAAGTCATTGTGAAAGGCTACGGTTTGGGATTCTTATGAAATATGCAACAAAGGGCAGAGTGTGATGAATGTTAGCACAGACAGATGAATTTTATTGCATGTGCTTTTATGTATGTTCGCTATGAATAGGAAAGTATTAACTATGAATTTGAAGTATTGCTTGTCACTGGAGACAGTGGGTTCTCTGGAAGAAGAGCTTAGAGGCGTGTTGACGTTCTAAGATTTACCAAATTTGGGACGAGTTAGCCCAGTGTGTGGTGGTACAAAGGTTCTCTTAACACCCTATCAAAGTTCATCTATTATGTGTTTTTTCAACAAATGTTACTACATCAAGCAAAAAAGAAGGTCAGTAGGTTTGGAATGTAATGTGCTAAAATCTCCTTCGCTACTGCACACTCAGAAGGGTGTGAACCATTTAATGATTTTACCGCTGCGGTTGCTTTGAGAATGTTATGACGTCTGTGAATTTGCTCTTGGTGGCTTGTGTTTAACTCAAGCTAATCCTAGTTGATGAAACGATCCTAAATCCTTACTGAGGGAAAACTGTACAGTTGCCTTTGGGGGTTTGGCAAGTGGTTCCCCATTTCCATAGCTAGTCTTTATTAACTTTACCTTGTAGGTGTTTTCTTTTTAGATAATGTTTGTTGGAGAAAAACTATCAAGACTACTTTTTTCAAGAATTAAGGTGCAGCTAAGTACAAGGCATTAGAAGTGCAGCTCATTTTAAGTAATTTTTTTCTGAGATGTGTGAAATTTTATTTTTGCATTTTAAGATATTTTATTTTTGAAAGGTTTTAAGTAACATTTGATACTTTCTAGCTAACAAACTTGTAGGATTTGTATTTGGTCTGTTTTATTGTTTTTATCTGTGGAATTTGGAAATTCATTAAAATCTGTGGTGATGTTTTACATAAGCTTTTATTAATTGTTTTATCATTGCAAAAATGGAATATATAAAATGTTTATTCATACTGGAATTGTTGTCCAGAGCCATAATAAAAATCACTCTACAAATATTTACAGACTGCACTGTATATGTTCTTAGCTACTCAGTATTAGCAATTTCTGGTGACCCATACGTTACATGGTCCTGACTAACTTTATGATTATAAAATAGTTACTGTCCGATCTGTTTCTGATTACCTGAAGACCTTTGCCCATAATCATGAAGCGTCTTGGAGCAGGAGTGCTAATCTAGGGTCTGTTCTTGTTAGTAAGGCTATTGTAAATAAGAGAGGAATCTGATCTTAGATCAGCCCTTCTACTTTGATACTTAGAAGTATCACTGCTAGCAAAAGGTTGCGTCCGGACGCGCTGATAAAAACTGCGATTAGCTAACCTTCATTACTAACAACATTCTGATAGATATAGCATGTAGATAGTTTAGGATACAATCCCTTTTAAATGGTCTACCTCTGTGGGTGGAGCATCTTGCTATGGAATGTCCTTAAAGCAGATATGAGGTGGATGAGGTGGTATCTGGGATACCTGCTAGGATTTGCTGCCGATTGCACCTCTTACTGTGCCATCAAGCCAGCTGCAAGGTTATCATCCGGGAGCAGTCCCTCATTGATGTTTCGCTCCATTAATCCCAGAACATCTCCCGGTGGTGGAGCAGCAGCAGGGATATCTCCCTGCTACGCCCTACATCTGACATTAGGATCCTTTTGTCCACATCTTATCTTTTCTTCCAAATCACAGCCAGAAACTCTCCTTTTCTGCCTCCTCAGCCAGCTCCTTCAGCACATTCCTCCTCTTTGCCCCAGAGGCAAATATTGAGTGCTTTGTGAAATGGGGCGTTGTCATGTTGATACATGTAGATGACTGACCATTGACCTGTCACAGTATAGGATATATAGAGCTGTCCAGAGCATTCAAGAAAGAAGTGGCATTGATGGAACTGGGCATTATTACCAGTGGTCGAAGGAAATACAATCACTTAAAGGAAGTAAAGTTTAAAACAGAATTGCTTGAGATTTCTTGTTAAAATTAGAATAGAATTAGTGTCAGGAGGGAAAATTCCAGGGTGAAATATGGTATGCATGTGCTGATGCAAGTCACCACATCAAGCATCAAACAGTAATTTAAAAGTCTGGGGTGTCGGGTCGGATTTGCATGGAGTTCTTAGGGTCGGATTATACATCTTTACAGATCAATGTCACATGCACAGGCTCAAAAAGAAGGTTCAGTTTGATGTTTGTTTAGGTCTCAAAAATGAATGGAATACTTTTTCAAGGCACTCGCAATCATCAGATTCATCCTCTCGGGGAAGGGGTCCGAAGCACAAAGCATGTTACAAAATGTTCTTCTACATGCAGCTTGGGGGCAGTCGTGGGCTGGAGGTTAGGGGACCCCCTAAGGATCCCCTGAGTTTACAGGACATGACTGAAGTGCCCTTGAGCAAGGCACCCAACCCCCCTCCTGGGCACTGTGGATAGGGCTGCCTACTGCCCTGGGCAAATGTGCTCACTGCCCCCTGTGTGTGGGTGTTTCACTGCACTGATGGGTTAAATGCGGAGGTGAATTTCTCCGTTGTGGGATTAATAAAGGGCAACTTGCTTACTTATATTTCATGGATTTATGAGTGTTCTAAACCAAAAGAATGTACACCATGTACCTTGTTCAGAATACTTTAATCTACCTGTGCCTTGTTAGAGTCTCTTTTTTTTTGGGACTTAGTTTTTGGGTGGGGCCTGTTTTCTTCATGCATTTCTCAGATCATGTCCCTGCCTGGGCAGTACACCGCTCTCCGTGGTGCTGAAGGGCAGCCATGTGCCCTACCGAACAAGCAGCACTACAACTTAGAACTGAACCTCATGTCCTACAGTTTCTTTTCTTTCTTTTCCCCTGAAGTTCACTCATGACATTAATGTTGCTTTATATACCAAAAACAACTCACACTACACAATCACATCATTCTAGTTTTAAAAAACGGAGTCTTCTAGTCATCATAATTTTCACGCTATTAAATTTGGGTAGTAGGGGGAGCCGTGTGCTCAGTGCTCAACCTCAAACACCACCTACGAGCACAGCCAGTGGCTCACGAGCCTGTATGCCTATAGGCTCCCTGACAAAAGGTCTGCGGCGGTTCATATAAATGACATGTATATAAGGTGCTGGTAGGCTGGCGCTTGATTTCACGCACCAAATAAGGTTCATCATTGGTTCTCAAATCTTCACTTGTTTCCACGCTGAGTAGTTCTACACCATCAAAACTGTGTTCTTTTTTTGCAACTTTGATATTTGTATGCACTGGAGGTATGTTAAAAAACTAGTGTTTGAATACTTGCAGCAGTGTAAACTGGCTCGTATTCACCTTTTGGGAATCTTGGTCAAATTTACATGCTTGAAATGTGAACCAACTCCAAATGCTTAATGTTATTAATCCCAGTTCCAGGTGATATAATCTGAGAATTAAATGGGTATTTTGCAGCCATTGAGCTGCTCCTCGGTGTGCTCTAATTAAAGTGAACTACTGAAAGCTATGGCAGGCTGTGGGGTGGAGCTCGTAATAAAACTCCCTCTCAGGCGCTGTGTCTCATTCTGTTCCCTGCTTGCTCTGCCTATTCCACTCTGCCTCAGTTTGGGGGTTTGCCATTTTGAGGGCTGTCACTGAATGATTAGTGGGGAGTGGAAGCGGACGGACTATAAAACCCTCCGACAGCGACAGCTGAGGCGGACAACAGCGAACCACAGTGCGACATGTTTATCAGGATGGAGAAAACAGCACAGTAATGTTAGTTCCACCATGCTATGTAGTCATTTTTGTGAATTTTTTCACACAAAAATGTCTTTTCACAAAATTATTGAACCATAATTATATTTCCGTCCATGTTCAGCTGACTTGGACTCGTGCAAGCATCCACTTAGACGAGTATTCCATTGATTTTAAATGCAATTAAATGACTTAGATGGTTAAGATATACCTACTTTACAGTGGTGGTGATGGGAGCCAGCCATCGTGATGTCTACAATGCAAATATAGCCATTTTATTTACTATCCAGTACCACCAGAGAACCTGTACGTGTCTTCTGAGGTTTATATGTAATGTTGATGCTAAAATAGTGGAAGTCTGAAAAAATTAGTTTTCTTTGGGATCTGTTGTTCCACTGCATGTATGTGTACCTCTCCACTTTGAATGGATTAAAAAAATAAAGTTGTAGCCCAAAGACTTGTTCTAAACTATCGTAAAACAATTGTAAAATATCTCAGACATTGTAAAACACAAAAGGTGGTGTGTGCATAAGTTTGGGCGCCCTTTCAGTCAGTACTTACAGTTAATAAGACCCCCTCTGGCTGAAATCAGCCTCCAAATGTTTCTTGAGCCTTTGTGTTCTAGATTTAAGATTTTGTTTGTCCACTTTTCCTTACAAAACGCTTCTAGCT